TTATAAGTATATTTGTATGTTGTCATATTAGTACACTAACCTGCCATGTCGGTATACTTGCATATTACAGTAGTCATATACTAGTATAGTAGCATACTAGTATAATAGCATACTAGTATAGTATATTCACACATTAACAAGTGGTGTATAGTTACAGTGGCATATGGGTATATGCTTGTCCTCAAACATCAGTACATGAATGCATTGATACATATCGGCATTTTAAGATAATGGTATCTGTTCTGGTGTGCATTAGCATATGCACGTGTCTTTTGTAATGGTATTAGTCTTCACATCAATATGAACATGACTATTGGTATTCGTAGGAGTATTAACGTTAATATTCGTATTAGGATTGTCCATAGTCGCATTAGCCTTAGTATAAGCGTTAATAATGGTATTAAGACTGGCATTATCTTGAATATTCAACAAGTTATCAATGTCAGTATTAGTATTTGTGACAGCATTACTGTTAACATCATAAGAGTATACGCAGTAGTATCCGTAGGAGTATCAATACTTATGTAAACCTTGGTGTTGGTATAAACAGTGTGATTGGTATTAGTAATAGTGCTAGTGCTAGTGCTAATATTAAAATGAGGTTATGTATTCGCATGAACGTTTGTCTTATATTAGTATTACTCCTGATCACATGAAAATACTAACAGATAAATACATGCATGAGCTAATGTATTTGTACTTTAATATATAGTGGTATGTATACTTATGTACATTGGTATATGCAGGTGTGTATTAGTATTGGTACTAAAATACACTACTAGCAATATGGGCATAATTGTTGATACGCGTAGGAGTATGAACGTCAGTATTAATCATTATTAATATTTGTATGGTGCCTATTCGTATTGGCTCAAAAAAGTGTAAATATTAGTGTTAATGCTGGTATTAGCTTGGGCAGTCAGCAAATGATCAATGTCAGCATCAGTATTGGTAATAGTATTCGTAGGAGTACCAATCTAAACAAAAAAAAAAAAATATATATATATATACACACTGACAATCGTCTAAACAGACCTTGCCTTTGCAAGTGAGTCGTAGTGCATGGTCTGTCATCCGATGGGTCACAATCAGCCCATTGAAAGTCAATTCCAGAAGTTCCAAAATTTCCAACAAAATTTCAAAAACTTCCGAAATTTCCAAAATTTCCGAAATTTCAGAAATTTCAGAAATTTCCAAAATTTCCAAGATTTCCAAAATTTCCAAAGTTTCCAAAATTTCCAAAATTTCCGAAATTTCAGAAATTTCCAAAATTTCCAAAACGGCCCGACCTAGTCGACAGGATTTTTCCAAAACATAAGGGCTGACTTTTTGGAAATTTTGGAAAGTTTGGAAATTTTGGCAATTTCGGAAATTTCGGAAGTTTTGGAAATTTTGGAAATCCGGAAAGTTAGGGGAGAGAATTTTGGAACTTTCGGAAATTTTGGAATTGAGTTTTTGAAAGCTGAGTGCCCCCTCCCCCCGATCACAGACCATGCACTACCACTGAGTTGAAAGGGCATGGTCTGTCAACGGGGGGGGTGACCATATATATATATATATATATACATATATACATATATATATATATATGTATGTATTGTTTTTCATCTACGTGTTGATATAGTTTTTGGGAGCTTCAAACAATCAGCGAAGCAGGGTGCGCAATGTGCACTTAGAGCGTAACTGCAGTGGAAAATCGTTCGTTCCCATGCGCCTGCAAAATGGACCAACCCGAAAAACTCACAAAAAGCCAACAAACACCGTGAACGGGTTTTGAGTCGTTACCTATAGTCTCCATTGTAGTTCCTGTTTTTGGTTTTACCATTAAAATCTCTATTATAGGATCCTAGCCATAAAACTGGTTAACCAAAAAAAGGAACTACGATGGAGACTATAGGGTTTCGGGGTTCCTTTTTAGGCTTCATATATAGAATCTTATAGGGAAATCCCAAAAAGGAACTACTTTGGGGCCTCTGGGTAGTTGTGTAGGGATTTAGTCTTAACCCTAACTCGTAAACCCTAAACCCCTAAACCCCTAAATCCCTAAACCCTAAACCCCTAAACCCCTAAACCCCTAAACCCCAAACCCCTAAACCCTAAGCCCTAAACCCTAGTTACTGCTCAGCCCACGACGGCTCCAGGCAGAGTTGGATGCAGTTCGGGCGGAACTGGGCCAGGCCGGTCCATGTACCTTCTAACAGGGTCCCTTCAAAGGGTCACTACAAGGGCTCTATAGCGTTTAGGATTTATGGGTCTAAATGGTATATAGGGGCCTTCGGGTAATTTGAGCTCGAAGCCCAATGGGCTTATCTAAACCCTATAAACCCAAAACACTAAAGCCCCCATCGTACTCCGTTTAGTAATCCTTATAGACCCCTTTAACGGGAACCCTTTAAGGAATCCTATCCTAATTAATTATTAAGGCCCTTATATCCAAGGGTAAAAGAGGGACCCTTAATAAGGACCCCTAGGTATATACCCTTAACATAGCTGTTATGTACCCATTATATAGCCCATTAGGGGGTAGGGGTCCCCATTAAGGGTCCCTCCTTTTCCCCTTTGATTTCTCATTCAAGGCTTCTGTTCCCTAAACCCAAACTCTAAGGCTCCAAGAACTTATATGGGAGTTTCCGAAAATAGGGGACCCTAACATACCTATAGTCTCCATTGTAGTTCCTTTTTTTGGTTAACCAAAATCTCTATTATAGGATCCTAACCATAAAACTGGTCAACCAAAAAAAGAACCTTCAATGGAGACTATAGGTGTTCCCTAAACCCGAACTCTTAGGCTCCAAGAACTCATATGGGAGTTTCCGAAAATAGGGGACCCTTGTATAGTACCCTAAATAGTAGGATCCTTATTACAAGGACAAATAGGGTACCCCTAGTTTGGGAAACTCACATATGTTCAGGCTTTTGTGCCAAGGGCGTTACTACTTTGCCGTTGTTGGACCTGTTTTTTGAGCCTTTCGGTAGGGGTTCAGACGTCACAAGGATTAGGGATCGCGGAAGGAAGCTCATTTTGTATTCCCGAGCTGCAATCAACCATGGAAGCAAATGGTGACATGGAGCACCAAAGCCTAGGTATCCGGCTCGTTCGCGCGACACCTTCCACATGTTTGGGATTGATTCAGCAGCTCAAAACCCTAAACCCTAAACCCTAAACCCTAAACCCTAAACCCTAAACTCAAGCTCGAAGCAGATGAGGCTCCTCATTACCCCCAAGGCTCTGAGGACTCATATTTTTAAGGCTTTTGGGCTTAAAGACCATATTGTAGAAGGCTTTTGGGCCATTTTGAGCCTTAGGGTACAATTATAGCATAGTGGGCCCCGAAACCCTATTCTAATTCTTAAGGCCCCTATATTACACTAGAAAGGGTCCTCCGGACGAGCCGTAGTCTGCCCCCCCCCAATGTACCCAAAACCCTGCCTTAACCCCACGTAACCTTCTTTTTTTTAAGGATTTAAATAACGAAATCATATTGGGGAACCCTAAAAAGGTAAGGTTCCTTAGGGTCCAGGTAAACCCTAAGCAAGGTCACCAAGCAGCTGGAAGAAGAGATCAAGTCGGAATCTCAACGTAAGGCGACGGGTCCAGGAACTTGGGTGCGGGTTCAGGGGCTCAGCGTTCAGGGTCGGCCTCGTTGCCTACCCAGAGGCCCCAACACTAGTTCCCTTTTCGGGGTTCATACATAGAATCCTACAGGGTAATCCCCAAAAAGGAAATACTATGGGGTCTCTGGGTAGTTGTGTGGGGATTTGGTTTAGGATGTTGTGTTCCTTAAGGGCCAAAAAAGCACATAAGCATAAGCATTCTATAGGGATATCCCTACCTTACTGGGCTTCATTGTAAGGGGGGCTATATGGGATCTCCCTATCCTAAGTTTTGCTTATGTGCCTTTTTGGGGATTAGGACTCTGGGTTCAGGGATCTTTGACCCAGCGACGTCCCTCGGCCCTGGAGGCGACCTCCAGCACTGATTGCAGTGCCTTAACCCAGAGGCTCCATGTACCCATATAGTAGGTACTTAGGCCTTAAAGTAGCCATATAGGGACCCCTTTAAGGCCTAAGTACCTACTATATGGGTAAATGGAGCCTTTGGGTTAAGCAGCTCGAGTCTGCATTGAACCTTATGTATAGTCTCCATTGTAGTTCCTTTTTTTGGGTGAACCAAAAGCTCTATTATAGGATCCTAACCATAAAACTGGTTAACCAAAAAAAGGAACTACAATGGAGACTATAGGTATTTTAGAAAATAAGGCTTCCTGTTGTTCAAACTCACCACCACCTTTGCGGGACCCTAGAAATCACCAGCCATTGTAAACGACCTACAAAACCCTACTAGAAGCCGAAAAAATGGAAGCCCAATAGCCTGCATCCTGAAGCGTCATGTATGGGGAATCCCAGCACTAACTGTCCCTATTTAATCCAGTTTCCATTTTTGTGATGAAGCCACATAAGATCCAAACCAGGACCCTGGAAGCAGTCAGACGAGATCGTAGGAACAACCCTATCTATCGATGTACCCATCCGTCTTAAACTAATCACTCTATCTAGCTGTCTGTCCATCTGTATCTATCTATCTACCCGCAGAATAGTTGGAGACATACATATACATGTACATATACGTATACACATATGCATATAAGCAGACGGAGAGAGAAGGATACGCATTATGTGTATATATGTATAAGCAAAGATATATCACATACATACATGGCTATTAATTTCGTTGTGGGTAGTTGTCAAAATTATGGTCCCTTTTTGGGTGACAAAAAAATTAGGTGCCGTACTACATTACATCAGGGACCCAGAAAGGGATCAGAATTTCGATAACCACCTTACCCACAGGCTCCAAGTATCATTATGGTATATACTTATAGGGTATTTTTTTTTTGGGGGGGGTCTAAGTATATACCATAATGATACTTGGACCCGTTGGGTTATGTCAGGCCAAGGAGTCCAAGGATTCTGCAGCACGAGCACGACTTCTCGGAGAGATGCAGGCGTGCCAGGTGCCGTGGGGCGGCTTGCGGGTTCGGGGCTTTAGAGGCTTTTGGTTTAGGGTTCAGGGTTCAGGGGTTGGGGGGCTTTAGGGCAAGCTCTGGGTTTTGGCTTTAGGGGCTTTTGGTTTAGGGTTCAGGGTTCAGGGGTTGGGGGGCTTTAGGGCAAGCTTTGGGTTTTGGGTTTAGGGGCTTTGGGTTTACGTGGGGTTTCCTAGTATGATTTGCTTGTATAAGTCCATAACAAGGTAGGTTTTGGGGGTTTAAGGTAGGGTTTTGGTTTCTTGGTTTATATAGAGTTTTTAGGATTCAGGGATTTTGGGGCTATTGGTTTAGGGTTCAGCATCAAGGGCTGTTGGCGCTTTTGGTTTATAGAGTTTTTAGGGATCGGGGCTTTGGGGCTTTTGGTTTAGGGTTGGGGGGTTTGGGGCTTTGGTTTATGGAGTTTAGGGTTCAGGGGTTTTGCGGCTTGAAATTTGGTTTTAAAGGGTTCGTTTAAAGGGTTCAGGGGTTGAGGCTTTTAAGGTTCAGGATTCAGGAGTTTATGGGTTTTCTTCTGGTTTAGGGTCCAGAACAGCGCATACGCATGCTCGTACAAACCCGGAAACCATTACGCCTCGAGCCCTTGCGAGACAATCCCACTCGAATCCACAGACCAGAGTCTTGTCCCACTTCGTCCTAAACCTGTAATCGCGCCTCTGATCCTTCCGAAACCCGGCACCTGAAACCCGAGCTGCAAACCCGAAGGGTCCAAAGTAGCTTTGTAGTTAGTAGAATGTAGGGTTTCTATATTGGGAATTGCCATTATCATTATGCTTTGGGGAAGTATCCCCCCGTAACAGTACCTAGGACCCTTTGGGAAAGTCCGACTCAAAGCCTTGTCCCAGGCACGAGAGGAAGAGCTTCAACATGCACTCTCGCAACGCGATGCCGAGGCAGCCAATGCTGCGCGAAGGGTCGCACAGGCTCAGCATTGGGAGGGAGGGGCTTGTGGATTCTGGGTCTGTTTTCAGGACCAAGCACGGGAGCTTGGGGACGGAGGGCATAATTAGATCGATTCCCGACGACCCAGTTGAACATTGCGGCTGCAGGGGTTAAGGTCAGGGTATGTGAAGCTTGCCGTGTAGGATTTACAGGGGCTGGCTTTACAGGGTTTTTTGTTTGTGATTTCTCAAGGGCTCTTTAGGGTTCTACACGGCCTCGTAATATAAAGGGTTCTATTCCAGTGGTAAGGGTTCTAGTACTTGGAGGTTCATGGGTAGTTGTAAGTACAGTTATATGTAGGGCAACTATACTTATAACCTATTAGGGGACTTGTTACCCTACTTATAACTACCCCTGAATCTCCAAGTAGTCGGGTCTGAGACCTAAACCCTTCAACGCTTTCCGACGCAGGCTGAGGCGCGGCTGGCGGCGAAAGAGAAAGCTGCCAGTGAAAGTGCAGAGGAGGCGCATAGCGGCATAGATCCTGAACACTGCCCCTCGAAACTTAACAAAAATATGATCATTTAATAAGACTTGACATTACTGGCTGCACAGAATTTGTGTAGACCGTAGACCTTACAAAAACGCATGCTCATGATAGTCTACCGTCATCTGTGTTGTAAGCCTCCTGAGCCTTGAAATGACAAGAATTATCCGAATCCCCCACACCCTGTATAGGACCGTCCGACCAAGAAAACAAACAAGCCGCAGCTTGCATAAAGAAAACTACCTATAGTCTCCATTGTAGCTCTTTTTTTGGTTAACCAAAAGCTCTATTATAGGATCCTAACCATAAAACTGGTTAACCAAAAAAGAACTACAATGGAGACTATAGGTATAACTGTTATGTCATGCGATGAAGGCCACCAAGACCAGACATTGCCCCTCCCCCACCCAAACATCATAAGTACAAACACCCCCAAGCCTTCATCCCTATAAAGAACCCTAAACCCTAAAACCTAAACCCTAAATCCTAAACCCTAAACCCTAAAACCTAAAAAATAAAACCTCAGGCGCAACAGGCCTTCAGCCGCCTCAATGATTTGGCTGAAGAGAGGAACCGGCTACGCACCGAGTTGGAAGACTTCCAAGCACCTTGGCCTAACAGGTTTTGGATTTGTGCAAAGGGCTTCTGTTGTGGTTCATGGGGCTTGGGGGTTTCTCTGTTGGGTGTTCATTTTGGTGCATTGGGTTTGTGGGGTCGTATGTGCTTTTCAGAGCTAAAATAGGAGGCTAGGTTTAAGCAGGTGCTGAGGGCTCATTAAGTGAGGGTGTATAGGATTTAGTTGGGGGAGGGGGGCAAGGGGTCTCTGGGTCGAAAGTCATGACGGATGTGAGGGTTTTGGTTGGGCTTAAGCTGTGCACGTATGTCACAATATATTTGTTGATGTGTATGCATGCATGCAGACATGCACACCTTCATGTGTCTGTCAATTTGTTTGTCTGTGTATTTACATGCCTGTCCACTGTCTGTAAGCATGTACGTGCGTATGTAGGCATGTATGTATGCGTGCGTGTATGCATATGTGTGTGAGTGCGTGTATACGTGTGGGCAGGTGTGTATCTGTGTACGTGCGCTCGTGTATGCACGTAACCATGCTTTCTGTATGTGTGTAGAGGTGCAGTGCTGCATGTGCAGGCCGGCTTTGATATGCCGTTGCATGCACATGCAGACACAAACCAGCTTCAGTTTTTGCATACGGTTGCGACCAACCCGCAGGTGTGCAGTCATTGCTTAGCCGGGGTTGCGTGGTGGTAGGTTCCAAGAGCTTTTATCTCGTTTGCTTAGTCGCGGGTGCCTGTGCTCCTGTTGCTGCTGACTCATCCAGATGATAACATCTCCGCGTAGTTGCTGTAAAAGTTTATAACCCAGAGGCTCCATGTACCCATATAGTAGGTACTTAGGCCTTATAAAGTAGCCATATAGGGACCCCTTTAAGGCCTAAGTCCCTGCTATACGGGGGGTACATGGAGCTCCAGGGTCAGCTACCCCCCCCCCCCCCACCACAATCCAAATTTTAGTTGTTCTTTTTTTTTAGGCCACAAAAGGTGATGCCCAATCGGCCTGAGGAACCTACGCTGACTGTTGGCTCATCCTCTGATCCTCTACCCGACAACCTGCATCATGCTGCGGTGACTACCCAGAGGCCTCAAAGTAGTTCCTTTTGGGGAATAGGATTCTATATATGAGCCCCAAAAAGGAACTACTTTGGGGCCTTAGGGTAGTACTACTGCTACAAGTAGCTACGGTGTCTGCGCCACTAGCACCGTTGCCAGCACTTGCGAGCAACAAGCGAGAACAGCTAAGGTTGGGGCGCAGCAGATGCAGGCAGACAGCAAGCAGCATCTGCGGCAACTCCAAGCGAACCGCAAGGAACTGGACTCCAGCTCTCTCGAAGTTCGACGGCTGCAGCAGGATAAGGAGGAGCTGCAGTCGCAGCTTGAGAAGGCAAAGAGCAAAGCCTGTGCTTTGGAGATAGAGCAGCACCAGCAGCAAGAGCGCAAAGAACAGCTTCAGCAGCAACTTCGTGCTCAAGAGCAGCAGCTGGAGCATGCAGAGGCAGCTTCGAGGCAAATGGCGCTGGAGCTCGAGGCAGCGCAAGGACATGTGAGCCAGACCGCGCAGACGGCTCAGCGCTGCCAGGGGGAGTTGGAAGAGCACTTAGAAGCGAAGTCCCGCGACGTGGAAGAAGCCCGGACAGCCTTGCAGAGGGTTGTCGAGGACAATGGCCAGCTTCAAGCACTTCTGGAGGAGTCTCAGGAGACTGGACGTCGGGGCGTTCTGTGCACTGCATTTGGGACATTATATAGAGTTTCGTAGTTCGACTAGTTTTATGGCTACGGAACCTGCTCTACTTCTGGTTGCACTTTGAAAGAAAGCTGGACATGGAAAGGCGGAGGCCTTTTTTCTTGCTCACACAGAGCATCCCTGCCGCCAGGAGAAAGCTGCGAAGTTGCAGGAGCAGGTTCTTTGCCACGACGACCGCTGCAAAGAATTGGAGGATCTTCTTAGAGTTGGGAGCCCTAGACCTAGGTGTCGATTTGGGATATCTCTCAAGTGTTTAATACAGTGCGCTAATTATAGTATTTTGGGGAGCTGTTGACATTGACACAAGTATGTGGCAGGTTGCTGTCTAGTAAACCCTATATAAACCTTAAAGTACCCAGAACCCAATAACTTACTATATAGGTAACCCAGCGTTTCCGGCTTTCAAAAATACTGAATTCGACGGGAACATCACCGAGTATGGTAACGCCGGTTATTTTCTCAATAAGTTCGATGCCAGGCAGGGCCCAAAAAGAGCAAACACCATCATGCTGCTACTCATCGGGTGATTTGAGGACAAGACACTGGTCACGATGATGAAGTGTGCATGTGTGCTCGCCCCCGCGCGCGGTCGGTGTCGGTGTCGGTGTCTGTGTCTGTGTTTCTGGGTGGGTGGGTGGGCGGGCGGGTGGGTGGGTCAGTGGGGTGTGCGGGTGGGTGGGTGGGGTGGGGTGGGTGGGTGGGTGGGCTGGTGCTTTGGTATTGTGGGGATGACGGCCAATATCAACGACAATGGTAACCTCGACGATGGCTCACGATGATGGCTTTCACGAACATGTGGCGTTCCTGATGTTGGGCCCGATAGTTTCGTTCACGATGCTGGAGACTGATGGGCACGCTTGATGAAAAGGTTAGTGACTCGAGATCGATGTTGCCGTAGTCCCTCTTCTGAAGGAAAAGACTAATGTATACTTTCCTCAGAGTAGCCGCAGCAGTGGTAATGTTAACAACAAGAGCTAGAACAGCAGCACCGCATGGCAGTAACTGCAGGTCATCTCTTGCAGATACATGTGCATGCCAGTCGCTTGCTATGCATACGCATGTGCATGTGCATACTCCTGGTTCTAGACATAAACAAACATGCATGCTGGCATATGTGTATGAATATGTATATACCCAAACTACTGAACATCTGTATATGAATATGTACACATGCATACAAGCAACAACAATACATACCTAGATACACATATATAGTCATGGAGACTTCAAAAGGGATTGTATTCATATTTAGAGAGGTGGAGAGAGAGAGAGAGAGAGAGAGAGAGAGAGAGAGAGAGAACAAACCCTTCATCGCCAGCCTACAACCCTGAACCTGAAGCCTTGGATCCCCAAACCATTAGCCGAATGTCTATAAACCCACACTCCCAATGCCAAAGGCAGAACAAGGCAAACAACTAGAGTTCCCGAACCCTGGTAGAAGTCCTGCACAGTCTGCACAAGTCTTACCTTCGATTCAAGTGCGTATGAACCTATCTCAACCCCCCTCCGCCCCACAGAAGCAGCCATAAACCAGAACCTCTACTGTAACCCCTATCCCTGCACCTCCAGGTTCCACAGTACTTTTACACCTTGTCATGCCCCATACCACCATTCTTCTTGAGGGGACACTGGGGAACCTAGAAACCTAGGACCCAGAGTAGGCCCTTATTCCCTTTTTTAGGGTTCAGGTTCCCTTATAAGCCCCTTTAAACCAAAAAGGGCACCCTTTTTATTCCTAGGTTGCTCTTGGGTCTAGAAACCCTAAACCCTAAACCCTAAACCTAGAAACCCTAAACCCCAAACCCTAAACCCTAAACCTAGAAACCCTAAAGCCTGAACTTGGCCCTGAACCCAAGCAGCCCTAAGCCGTAGCAGGGCTTTGCAGGAGGACCTGATCCTCGCCTAAAGCCTAAACGTTGCACCCTAAACCTAAACCCCTAAATCCCGAAAGCCCTTAAACCTTACCTACAGTCTCCATTGTAGTTCCTTTCCAGGGGTTACGTTATAGGATCCTAAGTACATATTTGGTTAAACCAGATAAAGGAACTACAATGGAGACTATAGGTAAACCCTAAATCCCGAAAGCCCTAAACCCTTAAACCCTAAACCCCTAAACCCTAAGCCCTAAACCGTAAACTCTAAACCCTTTAACACCAAAACCCTGAGCCCTAAACCGTAAACTTTAAAGCCTAAACCCTTGACCTGGGCGGGCGGAAAAAGGAGTTCAACAACAAAAAACTTTAAAACCCTAAGCCCTAAACCCATAGATTCCCTTAAGGAACCCTATAGATCCCTTTAAGGAGCCTTTCAAGGAACCCTTACTTACTACGGTGGATGATATAAATCCTGCATTACCCGTAATAAGGAATATACCCTAATTCCCTATGGGAATTAGGGTCCTTAAGGTAATGCAGGATTTATATCATCCAGCATAAACCCTAAACCCTAAAACCCTACAGATCCCTTAAAGGAACCCCTAAAGGTACCCCTTATAGATCCCTTCAAAGGAGCCCTAGGGATTTATATCATCCACCGTAAGTCCCCTAAACAGGAGGACCTGATCCTGGCCAGGGCTCAGCTCGGCGCTTTGGAGGCGCGAGAGTCTGAGCTGGCGCAGGCCAGGTCAACCTGTGGATTTGAGCCAAAAAAATAGGGCCCACAGTACGTACAGCTGTTGATGATGATATACCATGTATATATAATATAATATAATATAGTATAATATAATATAATATAACATAATATAATATAAGATAAGATAATATAATATAATATACTATAATATAATACAATATAATATAATATAATATAATATAATATAATATAATATAATATACTATACTATACAATACTATAATATAATATAATATAATATAATATAATATAATATAATATAATATATTATAATATAATATAATATATAATATATTACAATATAATATAATATATTATAAAATAATAAATATATATATATATATATATCCTGCACTACCTTTATGACTCTGGACTATGTGAATTATGGTACATATTTCTCATCGTGGGTAATGGAGATTTATTTCATCAACATATTCCCTATTATGGGTAATGCAGAGCTTATATCATCAGCCGAATCACTATCATAATTCAAGGTTCCTTAATGTAGTTCTTATACCGGCATATACCACGAAACCCGATTCTAACGATTGTGGTCGCTATAGTAGTGCTGTAGAAGGGTCGTTCAGGGTCAAGGCTTGAGTCGGGTTCTCAAAGGCTGTGAGTGTTTGTTTTCTGAGGGGATGTTGTTCTTGGTGAAAAGGCATGTCATGCGGAACTCCATGGTTTTCGAAGGGTTTGTGCCTCATTGCAGCGACCGGCAGGCTGTGCGCGTGTGACGTAGGTTGTGTAGTGTGTTGAAGGTGTGCGTAACCTGACCTCGAAAGACCCAGAGACTCCAAAGCAACTTCAATTAAGGATTACAACCTAACCTAAACCTATCGTTTAATGCAACTTAATTCAGGAATGCTCGGCAATCACCCGCTCTACCATAGAGGACTCTCTCCCTTAGCTTACGGGATTTCGGCAGTGTCTGCAAGGCCACGGTGGCGGCCAGGCGACAAGAGACCCAGGAGGCCGAATTCTCAACTCTAAGCCCTAAACCCTGCTTGTTTAAACCTTTAGCCTAAACCTTAAACCCCACAGGCCCCATAATAAACCCTTCAAGCCCTGAAAAAATCCCTAGACCCTGTCATATATGCGCTAAGCCTTAAACCCTATAAGCCCCATACGCCCTAAATCCTAAACCATATAAAGCCTAAACCCTAATCCCTATACGCCCTCATCCCTGCTCCCCAAACCCCTGTAACTCTAATCCAACCCTGGGTCTATAAACCCGAACCAAGCCCCATAATCCCAGAAACCCTAACCCCTAAGCCCTGTCACATAAATGGGGTTTAGGGTTTTAGGGTTTATAGGGGTTTAGGGTTTAGGGGTTTTAAACCCTAAACCCAAGAGGCCGAACTGGCTGACCTCCTGGCACAGAAAGAGCTGCTGGAGGTCCGGGGGGGCCCTACACCCTGAACCCTAAGCCGTCAACCCGGAACCCTTTAGGGGTTCAGGGTTTAGGGGTTTCAAGTTTAGGGTTCAGGGTTTAGGGTTCAGGAGTTCAGGGTTTAGAAATCTTAAGGCCCGAAGCTATAAATCCAACTGTCAACCTAAACCCTGAAGCCGTAAACCCGAAACCCGAAGCAGGAAAATTTCCCTGCCTAAAGTCTCTATGGTAGCTGCTGTCTTGGGTTTCCTTCAGGATTCCGAATACAAAAACGGTTCATACAAAACAAGACTTACATGCGAGCGAAAATGGCTTAGGGTTGAGGATTTAGGTTTAGGAGTTTCGGGGGTAGGATCTCGACATCTTCGTCAAGGACATTCATAGGGTTTGTCTTTGGCTCCGATGGATCCCCTGAACCTTGGAGCCCGATGAATCCTCTGAAGGCCGCCCCCAACAGCAGCCCATCGCGACATGCCCCTACCCTAAGGCCCCAAAGTAGTTCCTTTTCGGGGATCATATATAGAGTGAGGCTGTAATTTTGGGAGTTGGGGTTCAGGATGGAGAGGCGTTTGAAGGCCATCGCAGGCGAAACCGATCAGACGAGACTAACCACATCACCCCCAACTGCGAACCACGAAATCTTCAAGTCGAACCGTTCTTAAGCTCGAGTCAGAGTCCAAAAGCTCGAGATGGCGCAAGCGAGCTGAAACAGCACCGACATGTTGCACACGGATCGAGGGCCCTGAAAGGCCGGACAAAGCTCATCAATCCCAAAGCTCCAGAATACTCACCCTAAACCCTAAACCCTAAACCCTAAACCCTAAACCCTAAACCCATACTCTTAGAATCAAAATGTATACCCTGAGCCCAAGAATTCTGAACCCATCAACATCCTTGAACCCTGAAGCATTCCCACAAAGGTTTCATTAAGATCTTAAGCCCTAAACCCTAAACCCCAAACCCAAAACCCAAAACCCTAAGCCCTAAACCCTAAGCCCTAAACCCTAAACCCAAAGCCCTAAACCTAAGCCCTAATCCCTAAGCCCCAAACCCTAAACTCTCATCCCTAAGCCCCAAACCCTAATCCCTTAAGCAGTAAACCCTAAGGCCTACAGCCGAAACCCTGGAGCCAGCCAAGGCCCAGTTGGCCGCCACCATTGCCCGCCTGGACGAGGAGCAGGCAGAGCGCATTCGCCAAGGCGTGGGGAGGGGGTTACTATAGGGGTACCTTTAAAGGGATCCTTTAAGGGTTCCTTAAGGGGATCTATAAGGCTTCCATAAAGTGTTTTAGGGTTTAGGGTTCGGGAGTTTCCGAAAATGAGGGGTACCTTATTTTGGGATCCTTATAATAAGGATCCTACTATTTGAGGTACTATATTAGGGTCCCCTATTTTCGGAAACTCCACTATAGGGGCTTAAATAATTAGAATAGGGTTCCCTTTGAGGGGATCCTTCAACGGGGTCCATAAGGGATCAATAAGGGTACTCTGATGCAGGGGCCTAGATCATTACCGATGCTATTCCTGAGAGTTCCTTCAGAAGGGGGTGTATAAGAGCTACATCGGGAGGACGAAAGTTTTGACCTACTGGGCCTTTCTTGTCTTAAAGCATCTTGCGGAGTAGCGGAGTAGCGACAAGTGCGCTTTACGTGGCCTGGCCAGCGGAGTATTTTCTACCCCGTTTTAAAATTATACTACTTTAATGTTCCGGAGGAGTAGCCGGGGGGTCCTGTGCGCTAGGAGTCTACAGGGGAATGGGGGCCTGTCTTGGACGAAACAAGGAATAGGTCAAACTTTCGTCCTACCGTAGCGTGAATTTTGAGTGCCAGAGTCCGCCCTAAGCAGCTGGTGAAACTTCTCAGGACCTCAGCCCCGTGCCATGCCCCCCTTCTTGGCAATGACTTCTTTACAAGTCTTGCGAAAACTAGCCGCGATGTTGCCCGCGACTGTCTGTGCTCTCTCGGAAGCGAGAACGGCACGTACTCGGGCCTTGAAGGCTGTCACGCCTGGAACAGGCCTCTTTCGACGGAGGTCTTCCCGGTCTTTCTCATGGAGACGCCGCCGAAGCCAAGCCCACATTTGCTCTACAGGGTTGAGGTCCGGAGACTTGGCCGGCACACGCCACAGTGCGATGCCCTCGTCTGCCATCGCACGCTTGCTCGCAGCCGTGTGCAAGAAGGACTCATTGTCACACAGAACCTTCCACGGGCCATCCGGTTTGCACGGCTCCAGTGCGCGAATGGCTGCGGTCAACTTGCCCTTGTGGACCAGGCCGCACCACTCCGCGGATGTGAGCTTTCGTGCCTTGTGGAAGGTGATGACACTGAAGCCACCCTCAGACAGGCCACCCCACAAAGGGACGATGCGAGCCTGTGGGATCTGCTGCGGGTACGGGTCGTCGCCCGCCAGCTTCTCCACGCCAGCTTCCCCCCGTTTGCGCCACATGTGGCCGCCACCGTAGGCGCAGTAGTTCGCCCTGTCCGTGGCATCCTTCGGCGGCACTGCCAGGACGACGCCATCCATGGAGAGAGAAAGCTTCTCTCGCAGCTCTGCCTTCGTCAATCGCACCACGGCCTTGGCAAATGCCAGTCGCTCCTGCTTCCGATGCTTGCTGTACTTTCGCTTCTGTGCCTTGGGCAACCAGTGAAAGCCATTCTTGTTCAGAATTTTCCGGATTGTGGAGACATCGAGGGTGATCCCTTTGGCTGCTGTCACCTCTCGCTGCAGCGTGGTAGCCGTGCATGTGCACTGCAGGCGCAGAGCCAGCAATCTTTGCACAAGGAACTTCTCGACGGTCTTGGTTGCCTTCGTGGGCTTCTGACCGCAGTTCTGGTACTTGTAGACTCGCTGACCACGCTGCTGACTGAAGCCTTTGCAGAGGCGCTGCAGCTGAGACACCGAAGGCATTCCACCCTGCAGGTTTCTCACCTGCCCACGGATGTGCTCCCAGGTACAGCCGGTGTGACGAAGCAGAACCGCTTTCCGCTCATTGCTGAAGCCAAGCGACTTCGGGTGCCTGACCTCCTGGACCAGCGGCATGGCTTCAAGTCTTCGTGGCTGCGGCAGAGACAGAGCGATGTAGATAAGAGTTAAGTTCGCTAGTCAGCTAGTCTGCAGCTGCAGCGGCGGTTGTTGCCTAGTGGCCAGCATCCGCTGGACAGTGCGACGAGGTCGTGTCGAGTGCATCGTACTACGGAAGAGCTGTCAAAGCCTGTCTGTGTGTATCAGAGAGGGAAGCCAAGCCTGATCTGCTTGGTGTACCTGCGATCGAGATGGCAACCAGGCCAAGCCAAAAACCTGGCATGTCGAAAGACTAAATCGCTCTAGCTACTCCCACCATGGAGTTTGCAAGTGTGTGTGTGTGTGTGCTTTTCCTTCTTTCTCTCCCACCCCACGCCGTGTAATGCTCCTTCTTTCTCTCCCATCCCATGCCGTCTAAGGCGACCAGACCGCCCGCAGTTGCAAGCTGGAGCCCTCTTAAGTTGTCTTCAAGTCGAAGGGTCGACTTCACCTGTGCAGTAGCAGACACCCTGCTTCCGTCTTTTTTCCGGCAGAAGATGCCTAGAACTGCATTGGCCGTGAAACGTGTCTAGAGCCTAGAGCTGGCCGAGGATGTCAGGAAAGTTCAGGAGGACTCGATTGCGAGGGTGCTTCAACCAGTCATGTGTGTCCAGGAAGTCTAGGTTGCGTGTGCTCTTGGTGATGGTTACTGCGATGGGAACAGCGAAGAGGTACTTGCTGTAAGCACACGTCCCACCAGGGGTAGTTGCAAACTCCACTCTGGCATCATACTTCCCTTGCATCTTGTCTTGCTGTTCAGACAGGAATGCAAGGTCTCGAACATCATCCAGAATGATGCCGTCGTGCACCCGTCTGTCAAAGCTTCGCATGGCTTCGGGAAACACCTGCAGGCTTCCCACTTTCAGTTCCAATGGCTTCCTGAAAAGGGACTTGACCCACTCTGTCTTCCCGGTCTGTGAGGCACCCAAGACTACCAGGAGCGGGTACCGAAGCCGGTCCTCTTTAAAAGTGCCGGAACCAGAGGGAACGGCTGGTACAACTCTGGGTTGGAGCGTAGCCGGGCGGTGTTGGCCTCTATGACGGCGTGCTCTGCGGCTGCTTCCTCATGCTCGCGCACTGCGTCCAAGTTCCGCTTGCGGGCCAGCACCCCGTCGCGTGTGAGGTAGAGGTAGTCCTCGTACCGTTCTGTGGAGAGCTTCCGCTGCTTCCACAAGGTTTCGGGCCACTTACCCAGCACCTGGTACGTCATGGCCGCCTTGGTCCAGCATGGCTCGTAGTTGCCGGCCACGCAGAGGCCTCCAGCAGCCAGGCGCACCGTTCCGAGCTTCTCTGCCCACACGTAAAACATGCCCCGGTTGATGGACTGCTGGAGCTTCTTGCGGCACCAGCCTTCTCCGAGGTAGTCGTGGGGGCTAGCGTTGGGGCGTGTGCCTTCAAAGGAGAAGCGGCTGGTCCCACAGTCCACGGCAGACCTGAACTGCAGCATCAGGTGCAGGTGGGCAGGTCCCTGAAGCGTTTTGCTCCATGGTCGCCGACCAGTGTTGCACATTCCAGGTGGCCACTTGTCCTTCCACGAACTGCAAGAAACGCTGCCAGGTTGCGGCGCTGTCTGTCAGGAGCCAGCTCTGGTAGGTCAGCAGGACTGCGACGGAGCGTACACGAAAGCCGTCGCAGGCGGGAGCCAGCGCAGCTGCGGCTGCTGCGGGTGCTTGGCTTGCCTGGGCCGGCCGGCCCCTGCCCTTGGAGTTCGTGGTAGCGGTGAGCCAAGCATCCCTTGCAGCGTTCAAGCGCTGTGCATCGGCGGCAGCGCCGCCTTTGTTTGGATGCACACGTCGTGTTACCCGGCGAAAGGCCTTGGTGACCTCGTCGTCACTCGCCTCCCGTGCCAGCTTCAAGTCCAGGCCGTAGGCTGCTGCAAGAGACAGCAGCACGGAGACGAGGACACGCTTCGCCCGCTGCAAGGCGCTCACCGGCATGACCTCTGGCTAGAGTGAGTCTTCCTCATCCTCAAGCCAAACATCAACAGATCAGGCAGATCAGGCACATGCTGTAGCGCAGGATTTACTCCTTTAAAAAGGTCGCGGTGAGGCATCGGGAGGACGAAAGTTTTGACCTACTGGGCCTTTCTTGTCTTAAAGCATCTTGCGGAGTAGCGGAGTAGCGACAAGTGCGCTTTACGTGGCCTGGCCAGCGGAGTATTTTCTACCCCGTTTTAAAATTATACTACTTTAATGTTCCGGAGGAGTAGCCGGGGGGTCCTGTGCGCTAGGAGTCTACAGGGGAATGGGGGCCTGTCTTGGACGAAACAAGGAATAGGTCAAACTTTCGTCCTACCGTAGTATTATAAGGATATATAATATATAACGTAGGGGCCTAAATACTTACCAATACTATTTGGGGGGCTCCTTTCATAAATATAGCATAAAAGGCCCCAGAACCTATTCTAACTGTCAAGGCGCCCTCATTAGAAACACCTAGAGGGCCTTCAGGGGTTTAGGGTTTAGGGTTTAGGGGTTTAGTTTCAAGATGAGAAGCAACCACAGGAGCCGAAACCCTGTTTGCAAATTCAACAGCGACAATAAGCCCTGCAGAACCTGCTTGAAATCTCAGGTTTCAAGTAACTGCATAGTTGTATCCAACTGCAATCCTAAAAACTGTAATCCTACTTGAGGCACTTATCTAACTCTGCACTTACTACCTATAGTCCATTCTACTTCCGTTTCGTGGGTTAATCAAGCCCAAAAAAGGGAACCACATCGGAGACCCTATACGCAACCTCTAAAACTTCAAAACTTCTTACATACATCTATACATATATATATATATATCCTAAATCCTAAGCCCATAACCGTTTGTACCTCTGCACTTACCATAAGTCACGAGGTGGGAGTTTCCGAAAATTGGGGGGGGGGGGGGGGTACCTGATTTTGGGGGCCTTATAATACGGATCCTACTATTGAGCCATATAGTCGATACTCAGGCCTTAAAGTACCTATATAAGGGCCCCTTTAAGGGCTAAGTACCTGTTATATGGGTAGATGGAGCCTTTGGGGAGGGTACTATATTAGGGTCCCGTATTTTCGGAAAGTCCCAGGTGCCCGAGCGGAGACCTTGGAGACGGATCTCGCCACTCAGCAGCGAATCTACTCGGAGCAGGCGCGATGGGATCCAAGCAGAGCTTCGATTTCTTCTTAGGTCATGTCTAGGGTTCTTTGAGGTATGGGCTTATAAGGGCATGTGTAGGGTTATTTGGGGTCTGGGCTTGTATAGGGGTTTAGGGCTTGGTTGCTTTTTGTTGTTCGTCGTTTCCTCTTTGGTCTTGCTTCGGGCATGTACTTGTGTGTTGTGTATGGGTGGGTTTTCTTGCACAAACAGAAGGAGTTTAGGGATTTAGGGCCTTGGGGTTAGGTGTTGCTGCTTCCGGTATGCGGGGTTTGGGTTTCGAGGATTTTAGCGGGTCAGGGAGGGGCCTGAGGATTCGTTTGGGTGTTCGGTGTTGTTGGGGTCCTTCAAGAGTTTACGGGCTTTGGGGCTCTGGGTGTTTGGAGTTTGCATTGATTGCTTGGAGGTTCATGGGTAGTTATAAGTAGGGCTATAAGTAGGGCAACTATACTTATAACCCATATTGGGGAACTTATAACCCTACATATAACTACCCTAAACCCTAAACCCCAAATCCTACCCTGAACCTCCAAGTGGGCGGTATCAGGTTATGGTGGTTCGGAGATTCGGCTCCCGCTGTTGTGCAGCGAGAGCCGGAACTTGTGTGCAGAATTTCTGTGAGAAGGAGCCGCATGGAAGAACCTGTGTAACTAACTATGCATGTGACTTGCAATGTCGGAATGTGTGCTTGAATGCCTATGTCTTTATATGTATACATACATATATATATATATATATATATCATTGGTTGTTTTACTGTACCTGCACGGGCACGTGCACTTACCCTCCGACTCCTGTTGTCTTCCCTGCTACAGGCCTTTACGGTCATGCAGAAGCTCATCCAGTCTTGTCGTGATCCGCAAATCTAGTCTAGTCAATCAAGTCAAAGCCCCAAAACCCTGAACCATAAACCCTAAGCCTGATCCCGAGTGATTACTGGCAGGCATCGGCAGCACGCTGCAAGACTCTAGAGCATGCATGGCATCAGCTGGCGGCCAGCGCGGCAGCCCACATTCAGGAGACCCTCAACGGTTTAGATTTCAGGTTGACGGTTTAGGGTTTAGGGGCTGAGCCCGCAACCCTACTTCTCCCCCAACATGAACAACTGCCATTTTGTATGATGTCGCTATATACCTCCCCGACAAAGGTACTTAGCTTCGTTGGACACCTGCCAGCCCCTAAGCGTCCTGCAATCCCCAACCCTACAAACTAGTCAGTTGCGACCCCGTCTCTAGAGGGTGTAGCCCAAAACAAGTGGGCAAATGAGGCACATCTGAAAACAGTAAGGCTTCATGCTCGCAAGACACCCTAAATGTTGTTCCCCAAACCCAGTGATTAATGTAGGGGCCGTAATAAAGCGAATAGGGTTTCTATTACGTGATGTAGAATTGACCCCTCCCCCTCCAACACAACCTATAAGTACTACTATAGACCCCAACCGCAACGTGCCATACAGGAATTGGCCAATGCCAAGACACTCAACCCTTGGCCCACAACCGTAGGCTCTAAACCTTGGACCCGGAAATCCTTGACCCTAAACCCCTAAACCCCTAAGCCCTAAACTCTAAACCCCTAAACCTTAAACCCTGACCCTTCACCCTTAAAGAGCCCTTTGTAGAAGCTCCGAAACCTTGCAGAACTTCCCTCAGAACTCTTGCACACATAGTCAAACCGCGCAGGGCCATAAGCCCTAAACCGCGAAGCCTCTACAGAACCTTTAAATCCTTGAACATCGAGGTTTAGGGTTTAGGGTTTAGGGTTTAGGGTTTAGGGTTTGGAGATGAGCCCGTCTATAACATCCTCAACCTTCACACCCTTATGGAACCGTTAGCTCTTCAAATCCGAATACCCTAAAACTGGAACCCTGAAGCTCAAACCCCCAAACCGGAAAGAAAAGTATCACCCTGAAACTCGAAAGCCTGAGCCCCGAAAACACAAACCTGAACCCTTCAATCCAAACCCCTAAGGCCTCAAATCGCAAGCCTGAACCCTTGAACTCAACCTAAACCCTAAACCTAAACCCTAACCCCAAACCTAAACCCTAAGCCCTACAGTAGAAGCCAGAAAGTTGGAATAGCATTATCGTAACCCCTTTAAGGTAAATTATAGGGGATCCTACCATTAATCCATATTCCAACTTTCTGGAGTTCCCTTTACGCCTTTACGCCCAACAGGAGATGGAGAGCCGCAAGTTGATGTCCGAGGTCATTGCATCTCGTAGGGAGTCCCAGCGCGAAGGCAGCTATCAGTGGCTTGTGGGTTATGGTATGGGGTTTAAGACTTATATATATATATATATATATATATTATATCTATATATATATATATATAGAGATATAGGGTGTAGAGAGTTTAGGGCTTATAGGGCTTAGTTTAGGGCTCAGAGTTTAGGAGGTTTTGGTTTGGGAATTCATGGGTTTAGAGGTTTGAGAGTTTAAATGGGGCTGAGGGCGTGGTTTAAAGGGATCGAGTTTATAAGGGTCTACACAGGTTTGGCTCCAGGGTTTAGGGTTGACAGGGCTGTCGACGGCTTAGTCCCGGCAAGAAGGCAGACGTCAAGTGGCAGAGCACGCGGAGATTCTCAATGCCCAGCAGATGAAGAAGCAGGCTCAGGACGATCAGGTGTGGCCTGCGGGGTAGGTTTTAATACAGGGGCCTCGATAATTACCTAGACTATTTTGTTTTTTTGGGGGTCCTTATTATGATTATAGTATAATCGTCCCCCGAATTCCCTACATTAGGACCTTTGAGGGCTCAGAAACCGGAGTGCTCCTGCAGGTTTTAGGAGATGTTCGTCCGGCTTGCAATAGCAACCCAAGTAGCGTTAAACAATAGACGCCATTAAGGCCCTGAGTTCTAAATCGTCCTCCCTCAGGTTCAAAAGCGGCAAGACGAGGACATCGCCACATGCTTGAAGGAGAACGAGGAATTGCGTGCATGCAATCGAGAGCTAGCCCAGTCGTTGCAGCAGTTCAAGCAAGAAAACGATCCTAGGTTGTTGTTGAGCTTGATTATTTTAGTTACCCTAGTAAGCACAGCTTCTGGTTTTGCTATTTGCATCTGCTGCAATTAACCATTGAAAGTTGCTTATAAGCCAAGAACCAAGGACCAACTGCATGTGGACAACTCCAGCTTGCTGGAGAGCGTTGCTCTTTTCGAAGGCGATCTTGGAAAAGTGGCTGATAGACATGCGCAGCTCATCGGCCATGTGAACAAGAAGCAGAAGATCCGCTACACTGTGAAGCTTCTTTGCCGTTGAGTGAGCAGACTTTATCCTTCCAAAATGTGGTCGTAGTATGGGTCCTACAGCCTGGGTTCCGAAAATAGGGGACCCTGATATAGCACCTTGTAAATCGTAGGATCCTTATTTCAAGGACCCCAAAATAAGGTATCCTACCATGAAGCCCAGAACCCCTAAGCCCTGCGCCTGCAATTCTGCCGAATCGTTCCATGCCAGGTCCCTTATGAAACTGGAGAAGGTAAGGCTTAATGAGCCCCAGCCCCGAAGACTTAAATCTTCATTTACCATAGAGGGCTGAATAAGTGCTCTTATTGAGTTATTCTTCTTATTATTAATGTTATTTGACTTTTTCCATAGGGTTCCTTGAAATTACTGATGATGCCGCCCACAGCCACATTTTAGTCATTGCGGCTCCTAGATGAATCTGGCAAATGAGGCTAAAAGAGGAGTGTGCGCAGCTACGACTGGACTTGAACAAGGCCAGCTTGGACGTTTTGATCTGAAGCCCTTTCGTGGGCTGGTTCAGGGTTTCTGAGTTTAGGGTTTTGGGGTTAAGGGTTCCCGAACCCTATACCTATAGTCTCCATGCTAGTGCCTTTTTGGTGTTATCTTTTAGGATCCTAATTATATGTTTGGGTAAACGAAAAAAGGAACTGCAATGGAGACTAGAGGTATGCCCTAAACCCTAAACCTTGGATACTGCCCCCACTCAGTAACAGTTGGATAATATCCATACTATAGATATATTAGGCCCTTAATAGTAGCCCTATTATAGACTGTTACTGTATGGGGGCAGTATCCAACCTAAACCCTAAACCATCAGCCCATGAAGTCAGTTACATTACGGAATACTCCGTCCCCAAGGCCCGCCACAAGTTGATGCAGCTGGAGGGCAGCCGAAGAAGTGACAGCTTGCGCTTCATCCCATGAGTTAAGGTTCACGGTTTAGCTTTGTCATAGTTGGGTAACATTTTACATTTTTATGGGTAGTTAAACCCAATAAGGAATAAAAGTGTAAATTTTTAATCCTATCCCAACCATGAACTAGTTAGGGTTTGGGCTACCATAAGGGTTCTATAAGAGCTTCAGGGCGATAGGGACTACTTCAAGGCCAAAGTAAATACTATTTGGGTACATGGACCCTCAGGGTGAGTTAGCAACATCTTGGTCTCCTCGTCTTGGATTTGGGGGTTTAGGGTTTCGCCGCCGCGGTCGAAGATAGTCTTGGCTTGAGGGGTTCGCCGCCGGAACTTGTGTGCAGAATGGCAAAGGCTTCAAGCACTGAAGCTGGACTGCGTCCTTTGTGGGCAAGTTCCTACAAGAACGCAAAATAGGTATATACTTTGGCCTTAAAGTAGTCCCTATATAGGTACATTGGGGCCCAAGTATATGCTGTTTGGGTACATGGACCCGTAGGGTTGGACACCCACCGAGTCTGAAAGGTATGGTGCCCTGGCATCCTTGGGCTATTCGCCGGCGCCTGCAGTGCAGTCGTCACCACAGCCGAAGCAGAGGTCGCAGGAGCAGAGTCCGAACAGCCCTTTCCAGCGGCTTGGATATTTGGGATATCAGAGTTTCGGAAAAAGAGGATCCTAACCTAGAACCCTAAGTTTGAGATCCTTTTTTTAAGGGCGCGTACATCAGGAATCCTACTAGAACCGTTCTGGAACCTCATTTAAGGCAGCCACAAGCAGCTCCTGCGCCCGTGCGCGTGAGCCCACGGTGTGCCAATACAGCCCGCGGGCAGCTGGAGGAGGTGCCTTGGATTGTTTTATGTTCAAGAGGCTACCTTGGAGGCCTTCGGGGGATTCTACAAGGTAACTACTATGAAGGTGTGCATGATTTCAAGATCTCTAACAGAGATAGAGGCGAGTCATAAGTCATAAGATGATTCCCCCGATGAAATTTCGAAGCGACACCGACCAGTTTCAGGGTCTTGAACTTACCCTAAGGCCCCAAAGTAGTTCCTTTTTGGGGTTCATATGTAGAATCCTACAGGGTAATCCCAAAAAGGAACTACTTTGGGGCCTCTGGGTACACCAGTAACCCGTTTGAGCCGGTTTTAGCGTCTGTTACAGGGGCCATGCACCGTCAACGCTTCGACCCTGTTCCGTGGAATGTGTAAGAGGTACATACCTGATGCTAAGAGGAGTAGTAGTAGTAGTAGTAGTAGTAGTAGTAGTAGTAGTAGTAGTAGTAGTAGTAGTAGTAGTAGCAGTAGCAGTAGCAGTTGTAGTTGTAGTTGTAGTTGTTGTTGTTGTTGTTGTAGCAGCAGTCGTCACTTCATCCATTAATTGAACAGAGGCTTGTAATAATAGCAGCACTTTCTGGAATATCCAGCTGAAACATCCCGGCCGTTGAAAACCTGCGTCAGCTTTGATTAGGGGGTTGGGTTTAGGAGCAAAAGCCAGAGCCAGATCCAGAGCAAGATCCTGCAACAGAAAGTGGGCGTTTAGGGTTTAGGGGTTTAGGGTTTGGGGGTTCAGGCTTCAGGTTTTAAGAGCGCGTTTCGAGTTTTGCTTGTTTTTAAGCATGGGATAGGGCCCTCGATTTATAGTGGGGGCAGTAGCTGTCGTCGTCATAGTTTAGTAATCTGGCAGTAGTACCTGCTGTATGTAACTTCCAAGAAATTTGTATAACACCGCAAGAATTTCCTGCAGGACCTTGATATAATTTCGAAACCATGCAAAATGGATGGCTCAAGTCGCCATATCAAGACGCGAAATCCCTTAAAACAGTACTAGGCACCACTGGAAAGGTCTATGCCCAAGCCCCTAGATCCAAAAAGAAACCTAAAGCCCCTAAACCCTCAAAACCGTAAACCCCTTTCATAGAACCCTTATAGATTCCTTTAAAGGAACCCCAAAGCCCTAAACCTAGAACCCACACAGATATCCCTTTAAAGGAACCCCCAAAGCCCGAAACCTAGAACCTTTACAGATCCCTTTAAAGGAACCCCAAAGCCCTGGTCGTTTAAAGGGATATCTGTGGGGGTTCTAGGTTTAGGGCTTCTGGGGTTCTTTTAAAGGGATAAACCCTTTAGACAAACCCCTTTCATAGAACCCTTATAGATTCCTTTAAAGGAACCCCAAAGCCCTAAACCTAGAACCCTTAAACCCTTTAGACAAGCGGGGAGGCCCAAAGGCGAGTGCGACTCCAAGAGTGCGCTTTGGAGCGGGTCCGGGTCTCAGCAAACTGTGTGGGTTCAGGGTTTGGGGGTTTTAGGGTTTACGGTTTTAGGGGTTAGGGTATTTAGGGTTTAGGGGGGGATCCAGGACTTAAGCTTTAAGGTTTATGAGTTGCATGTTAGGGCATAAGTTTAAGGGCTTCGCGTTTCGGATTCAGGGCCTAAGTATCAGGGGTCGTATGGGCCGAGGGTTTAAGCACTGCCTCATTGAGTTCCTGAGGCTCCGTGCTTGAGCATTTTTGCATATCCTGGGCTCATGTCTGAGAAAACGTTACCTAATGCCGAAAAGAAAAAGCCTATCTCAACACTATCGGGTTCAGGTTTTAGGCTGGAAAATGTACTACGGTGCAGGTTACATGGTTTGGGGATGTTTGGGGTTTAGGGTTTAGGCTGATGCTGCGGATTTGGAGTATGTTCGGACAGGTTTATCTTGTGGGTCTGGGCTTTTGAGACGGATTTTCCGTTGAGGGTCTCAGCTTTTCTGGGTTCCTGCTTAAATACAAATAAACGCAAAAACTATGTTCATGTCTTCAGTGGGTTGCGGGGCATCTTCGAGCTAACCCTAAAACCCTAAAACCCTAAACCCTAACCCTAAACCCTAAACTCTGACTCCTAAAGAGCTCTTGGGAAGATTCTCCCGGGCTTCGGTTCTGTCGCTCGTGCTCTGGATCTGATGTCGTGTTGAGGGCTCAGTTGAAGGATCATGGGACTTAGTATGTTCGGGCTAAGGGCCCCTTTAAGGGATCTGTAGGGGGGGGGGTACTATAAGGGTTTAGGGTTTAGGGTTTACTTGAAGGATCATGGGACTTCGTAAGTATGGTTATAAGTACCTTCATTGGGGTTATAAGTAGTTGTAAGTATAGTTGCCCTAATAACAACCTTAGTTGCCCTTGTTAATCGCATGATCCTTTAAGTGGGTGTCAGGTTCAGGTTGGGGCGTGAGCGGAAGGATAGGTAACATAGGGGTGTACGGACTGGGCCAAACAGAGACCACTGTAAGGTTTGGGATTGAGGGTCGAGCATGAAAGATTTACCAGCAAAGTCATTACCCAGAGGGCTGAATTACAAAACTGTTATATACCAGTACCTCGAACTCAGGTTCCGAATTATGAGGTCCTTTCGGTTAGAGTCAGAATCCATCCGGAGCCCGCAACCCAAAGGAGCCCCCAAAGCTCGCACAACTTGGAGGGTCATGGGCCGTAGTGTATGGTGATAAAGTACCTAAATTGGGGTCATAAGTAGTTATAAGTACGGGTCGTCCCCAACCCTGCAGCGCTAAACCCTCAACCGCTAAATCCCTAAACCTATACCCTAAACACCACTCACAAATGCCACAAAAGCACAATTCTTGACCCGCACGTTAGGTCAACTCTGACTTCCGCCACCTACTTGCCCTGGTTCAGCGCGTGATCGGCCGTGGCCAAGCAGATGAATCCAAGGAGTGAGGGTCGAAAGCACGGGTCTTAGGTCTTGTTTTTCTTGTTGTACCGACCTCTTGAACCCAGAAGCCGTCTGAGTTGGCAATCAGATAGCCGTTTCACCCCAAGTCCAAAGTTCCGTAAATTGAAAGGCTGTCAAATCGCCACTCCCTGCGCCAGGAGATCAATTTCGCGGAGTTGCTGCAGGACTCAACATGAAACCCTTACAAGCCCTGAAGACCCTAAACCCTAAACCCTAAAGACCCTATACATCCTAAACCCGATAAGCCCGATGAGCCCTAGAAGCCCTGCAGACCCAGCCCTCCCGTAAACGCTGTTAGCCTTAAAGGGAACTCCAGAAAGTTGGAATATGGATTAATGGTAGGATCCCCTATAATTTACCTTAAAAGGGGCTACGATAATGATATTCCAACTTTCTGGCTTCTACTGTAACAGTTCAGAGCTCTGTAGAACTCTAAACATTATGTATCCCGTGATAAGTCGAAAAAAGAATCTATAAGTACAACTCATACAGAAGCCCTTTAACCTCAAAAAAACACGGGGCGTAGGCCCTACACTGCAGAATGCACGAAGAATAAGCCCTCTACCGTAAAGCACGAAAAATGAGCCCTATACCTTAAAACAGGAACGCGCGAGGAACAAGCCTTATACCTTCCGGGATTCCTTAAACTACCAAACCCTGCTTTTTTTCAAGGTTCTTGTTATCATAAGCCCTATACCTACCCTAAACCCTAAACCCTAAACCCTAAACCCTTTCAAAGACGAAAACCAGCTCCAGGACCTTCGTCGGGTCATGGCCTCCCAGTCTCATGCACCCCAGAGCTCGACGCCGGCGATGGGGAGCACTGGTCCAAAGATGTCCCCAAGGCTCCGTGTTACTTTAAGGGTTCCTTCAAGGGCTCCTTTAAGGTTTCTATAGGGTTTAGGGTCTTGGGTATCCATGTGATATATACTTAGGCTTTAAAGGGATTCTGAGAGAGGTGTTTCAAGGCTTCAGTCTTTTCTATGTAGGTACATGGAGCCTATAGGGTGTTGGTCAGCGAGTTTGGGGTCCGGGTTGTAGGGTTGCGGATTCATGAGACTGACCTGAGCCTATTAGATGTAGACTTAGAACCTCATATACATCAATATCTTGAGACCCCCCAACACGATTTGCCAGCGCCCGAAAACACGCAAGACTTCCAAAGTTGATGAAATGGATAAGCAAAAATCAAGACGGGATAGAAATTTGAAGCTTATCAAGTTTATCAGTTCTTCCAACAAGCGGCAAGTGTGCAGGCTTTGAAGTTTTGAGCGCAAGCCCTGAACCCCTCTCGCTAAGCGCCCTGAACCCCTAAACCCCAAACCTCCAAGAAGGACATATAAGGTGGGTTTCCTACCGTTGCAGCATCTGCTGACGAGGAAGCATATTCCCATGTCATCCCTGCGTTAGACCTCCCGAACCCCAACACGTCTGGCACAACTCCCGCATTCCGGATTGGATTTGATAAGGCCTGACCCTTGCTTGAACCCTGCCCAAGGAGGCCAAAACTCTTCCTCGATCGGACGTAAAGTAGAAGAAAACCTTGTATAATTCCAAGTCCTGAGAAGGGGGTTTGGGGTTTCTTAATCAACTCAAACACCGAAATGCAAGGAGTCTCCAGTCCAAGCGGCCAAACCCACAAACATGTTCACGAAACTCGCATCACCAGCAGCAGCAGCGGTAGCAGTAGGAGCAGCAGCATGGGTAGCTAGTAGTTAGTAGTAGTCAGTGGGTAGAGGCTGGTAGGTAGTAGGTCGTGGTTTGTTGTTAGTAGGTAGCAGTAGTCTTGGTGGTACGGTGGATGATATAAATCCTGCATTACCTTAAGGGCCCTAAACTATGGGAATTATGTTTTATTCCTTATTATGGGTCATGCAGGATTTATATCATCAACAGTAGTAGTAGTAGTAGTAGTAGTAGTAGTAGTAGTAGTAGTAGTAGTAGTAGTAGTAGCAGCAGATGTGGTGGTGGTGTCAGGACTGAGGCAAGCGCTGGTCAGAAGGAGCCCTCGACACCCCGAGCTCGAGACAGCTTGGCTTCGCCCCTCAGCTTCCGTGTGGCACAGGAACCTCTGTCAGAGGAGCCGCCACAAACTCAGGACCGGGCCTGTAGTTCTAAGATCGTCGTGTTGATTGTGTTTCGAGGGTTTAGCACCTAGGGCCTCGGGTTTGGGACTTGACTTCTATGGTGCTTGCATAAAGGATCTTAGGTTCTCTGAAAACTCTGTTTTAGGCCTATCAGCCCAGGGCCCCGATCCCAACCAGGACAAGGAGAACCAGCTCAACATCCAGAATCAGACCCCGGCCGAAACGAGCAAAGCCGTCTTGCCGGAGACGAGCAAGGCCATCCTCCCAGACACGCATGAGGCGCCGGGGCTTAGGGCTTTAGAGGTTTTGGGACCACACCCTGAGGCTCAACATAATTGGCCCGAGAACCTTGTTTGGTGGGGCCTTGCATGCAAAAAATTGCGGTTTGAGTCGCTCTGCCCTGGCAGTGGAACTTGCATCCCGCATGCCATTCAATATCGTGACCTGTCCTAGGCTATAGTTTTACGGTTGATAATACAAATCCTGCATAAACTCAAGGACCCTAAACTATGGGAATGAGGGTATATTCCTTATTATAGGTAATGCAGGTTTTGTATCATCAACCGTTTCAGGGGTCCGTCAAGCATTAAGGCCCCAAATCCTGAAGCCAGCCCTATGGCTTCGGTTTCGTGGCCGCCGCCGGTTTAGGGTTTAGGGTTTAGAGTTTAGGGTTTAGAGTTTAGGGTTTAGGGTTTAGAGTTTAGGGTTTAGAGTTTAGGGTTTAGGGTTTAGGGTTTAGAGTTTAGGGTTTAGGGCTTAGGGTGGAACCTCAAAGCCCAGGCCCGAGCCTTAGACACGAACATCGAGGCTGGACAGGTTATTTTCTCAGGGTTCCCGAATACATCTGCAGATATGGGTGGTTGTCAATATTATGGTCTTATGGTCCTTTTTTAGGTCCTTGTTATAATACGGCACCCAATATTTGAGGGTACCCAAAAAGGGACCATAGTTTTGACAACTACCCATATAGCATGCCACCTAGTAGAACCCTTATTGGTTCTTCCTGCCTCCATATAGCCCAAAACCCTGAAGACTCACCAAAAATCGCAACTCACACGAGGCAGTCAGGAAGGTGATGAAGCAGATCAATTTCGCCCTCAGCTTCGGTTCGCGCAAGTTGTATGGCCGCCCAATTCAAGATGCTCGGAGCTTCTTCCAGGCGCTGGACAGACGCCAGGTCTGAATTAGACATCGCGCCTAGGGCTCCAGCTGCCTAAATACATAGTAATTATAGCTGAGAAGGTAACCTTCAACCTTGTGTGGACTATGTAGTCCTACCATAATTGGAAAGGCTATCCGGTTTGGGCTAGGTACTCAGCTCAGCCCCTAAGAGCAATAGGTTACCAGGGTACAGAATAAATGGTAATCTAAAGCAGCCTACTATTTAAGTAACCGGAGCCCACGGTTATGACATGTACGAGATTTGAAGTGAACTCCGTTCTTGCTCCCTTGCCTTCCAAAAGGTTACACATACACTGCCATTGTGGAAAACGGTCCCCCAAACCATACTACAGATGGTCTGTTGGGACCTAACTCCATCGTGGTACCCTCTGGGCTTGTTTCCTGACTTACTTGGATCTTGACCATAGGCCACAGATTTGGCCAGGCCACGTAGGATCTACTAGCAAGGCAAAGTCCCTATAAGCAGCAGAAGCGTATCCATCGGAAAGGAGGGAGGTTGTGGGTGGAAGTTCTTACTGCCACCTGAGCTGTGGAAGTCACTCTGTGCTCCCAAAAGTTCGATCTCTCACAGGACATGGCAATGGCGTCTTGGAGCGGAAGGACATTGCATCGGGCTTCAAGCACCTCGACTACTGATCTCGAGCCGAATTTGGGATACCAGAAGACGTGAAATATGCCAACTACTGGCTGCTTGAAGAGTTCCTCAAGACCTCCAAAGGCCCTGTTTAAAACCGGCGAAACCCTTTATATATCCTGTAGAAGACCTGTACTTTAAGTTCAACTCCTATACCGTACTTGGAGTTTCATGGATAGTTACAAGTGGGGTTATCAGTAGGATGATTATAGTTCGAACCCCTTTTTTAGAGGACTTATATAGCCCCAGTTATATCTGCCCATGAACCCTAAACCCTAAACCCCATGAACCCCCAAGTACTGCCACAATCAAGGCGCCTGGACATCGTGCTGCCGGTGAACACGCTCGAGATGCTGGTGAAGATGGTCGAGCCTTCCATGCATGTTGGATTTAGGGTTTAGGGTTTAGGGGGAGCCTTCCATGCATGTTGGGGCTTTATGGTTCTTAAGTTGTAAGGCTATACATGGGTGGTTGTCAAAATTATGGTCCTTTTTTGGGTCCTTATTAGAATACGGCACCTAAGCAGAAAAAGACCATAATTTTGACAACCACCCACATGGTTTATGCTTTTAAGAACCAAAAACCTACCAATTCTTTAGTTGGAACCCTTTACGTCTCCGACCTCCCATTCGGCTCGCTTGGTTTGAGGGATCCTCAAGTTTCTCTATTGGAAATTCTTTTCCGGGTTTGGGGGGTTTCGGGTTTTGCGTGTTTTGGGATTTGGGCAGGTTTAAGGTTTCGGGTTCCGGCTTTTTTGGGTGGTTTTGGGACATAGGGTCCAGGGATTTTGAGATACGTACCCTTCAACCCTGGGGCTCCAAATATCCGTAAAAAAAAATATACTTTTCACAGACCCTCGGCCTCAAAGTAGATACTAGTTATTTGCATACTGGGATCCCTGGAACACGACCCCTCAAGAGCCGTGGAAAGCGGTGGGAGCTGCCAAGCTAGGTTCCTGAGTGGCACCCTTTTGCCCTTTTTAGTTTAGGGTTCCCTTATTAAGACCAAACAGCAGGAAAAAGGGTTTAGGGTTTAGGGAACCCTAAACCCTAAACCCTTATTATAAAGGGGCTACTCAGAAACCAAGCCAAGGATCAGGATGCAAATGGCTTCGTGTCTGTGGAGGAGCTGCTGAAGGCCTTTCCCCAAGGGTCCAAGTCCCGCATAATCATAGACAAGGCGGGACCCTTAATGGGGACCCCTACCCTATAATGGGGCTATATAATGGGAATATAATGGCTATATTAGGGTATATACCTAAGGATCCCTAAAAAGGTACCTGTAGTCTCCATTGTAGTTCCTTTTTTGGTTAACCAGTTTTATGGTTAGGATCCTATAATAGAGGTTTTGGTTAACAAAAAAAGGAACTACAATGGAGACTATAGGTAATGATCATAGGCTCTCCCAAATCCTAACCCACATAATTACTATCCTAAAACCGAATACCTAACTACTCTCCTAAAACCGAATGCCTAACTACTATCCTAAAACCGAATACCTAACTGCTATCCTAAAACCGAATACCTAACTACTCTCCTAAAACCGAATACCTAATTATGGTGTCCTTTGGACCCTTAGGGTTTTCGCTTTGGGGACTTAGCGCGTCGGGCCTGGGACCTTTTCGGGCTTTGATATACGGTTCATGATCCTGCATGACCCATAATAAGGAATATACCATAATTCCCATAGTTTACTCAGGGGTGCTTAAAAGTATTTTTTTTAATTTTTGGTCATTATAATCCCTAAGAAACAGCTAAAAATATATTTTTGCTAGGGTTCTAAGTTCAGTATAGTTAGGTCCTTAAGGTAATGCAGGATTTCTATTATCAACCCTAAACCCTAAACCCTAAAACCCTACAGATCCCTTAAAGGAACCCTTAAAGGTACCCCTTATAGATCCCTTTAAAGGATTTCTATTATCCACCGTGGGGACTTTCGGCTTTGGGGTTTAGGATCCTGGCTTCTGGGTTCAGGCTTCGGGGGCCTTTTTGAACTGTCCCTTAGGGTTTAGGGTTTAGGGTTTTGGGTTTAGGGTTTAGGGTTTTGGGTTTAGGGTTTAGGGTTTAGGGTTTGCAGGTAGCTGCCTCGTAGTCCTACGGTTGATAATAGAAATCCTGCATCACCTTAAGGACCCGAAACTATGGGAATTATGGGATATTCCTTATTATGGGTAATGCAGGATTTATATCATCAACCGTAGAAGCGTGTTGTGGTGATGTTTACAGGAAGTTTATTCGGTCGCACGACCTTTAGTTTCAGGGGTTCGGAATCTTCGTGCCCGGCGTAAAGAGGACACGGTCCTTCCTGAAAGCAGGCTGCAGCACAATTGGAAGAAAAGAGTCCACAGACTCCCCGGCCATCTTTCGTTCGAAGAAGCTTTGCCATATTTCCAGTAGACATGAAGATCATCATTCGATCAGGATCGCCCTTAATTATAAGACCAGTACTTTGTAGGTTTAAGCATGGGATTTTCAGCGGAGGCCCTAGAGCGCAGCGAGCGTGTCGCTGCCAAGAGTGAGGGGCTTCCGGTGCCCCAACTCCCGCGCAAGCGGCAGTAAGGTGAGTCACCCTAAGGCTGTAAACTCCAAACTATATAAGCCCTAAACCCTCAACTTTAAGCCCTGAGCCTAAAATCATTGGCTCCTGATCATCAACAATAGGGTATGTGGGGGGGGAGTGTATAGGTTTCATGGCCCTTGGCTGGAGGGCTCATTTACTCCCCTGTGTGGAATCACATCTGTCAGTGTGATCCAGGTTGCATGGACAGAATGGTATACGCATGTAGAGATGTAAGATCCCACGCTGTTTGCGCCCTAAACCCTAAACCCTAAACCCTTAATAAGGCAAGTGTAGAGTCTGACCACAGAGGTTTTATTAGGTACGTCTCTGCGCTATGCACCTGTAGAGCTATACAAAGGCTAGAGGTCGTATGTCATAGCAGGACAACAGCTATAGACGTCTAAACCCCAAACCCCGATAGAAACGAGTTTGTAATTTTCTGAATGAAGGTGTCTTGTCATAGGGGTGTCATCTGTGCTGTCAATAGTCGTGTGGCAGCTGTAGCTCTTTGGGTTGTTTCACTACCTTGATGTCGAGCCCGACCTAAGGGATGATGGTTCGGCCATCAGTGTGTTGGCATGCATGACTGCAAGGACAGATATATGCATGTTCGTTTGGTTGTTTCATTGTTCTTTTCTAGCCTTGTTGTTGTTTCAGAATTGAGGTGTTTGTTTCCTTGTTTATTTGTTTGCTCGCATGGGTGTACATAATGTACAGACATATGCGTGGCTGGTTGGTAGTAGATAGTTCGGTAGCATGGTACTCAGGCAGCCACGTAGGCAGGCAGTCAGGTAATGGGTAGGCGGGCAGATGGTAAGGTGGGTAACTAGGTGGGCAGGTGGGTAGCTGTGTACCTATAGCCTGTGGCTATGCATAAATGCATGTATTCCCAAGGGGACAGACAGATAGAGACGTCGCCGACGAACTCCCCCGGAATCCATAGCCAAAACTGTTGCTACCAGTATTGGCTAGAGCTTTCGGATATACATCCGGTAACTGCCCTTGTTGTGACGATGTTTAGGCTTATTGTTGCCGGTGCAGTCCTAGTGTCACCCTAAATCCTAAACCCGTAACTGTATCTGCCCTTGCCCTTGTCTTTCTCCTTCCTTATCAGAGGCTTAGGAAGTGTACATTGTACTTAGGAGCCGCTGATTTCAGAATCCGCGCCGCTTGCCGAGTACTGGTATAGGGGCATGAATATTTTGCAATACGTTACGGTATACCCTTATACTCTATTACTTCAAACGCCCCTACATCAGTAGCAGGAAGGAGCTTTCCACACTGTAATCTTATCGGTCGCCGCTTTCCCTTGCCGTGTTTTTTCTGAGATGTGACAAGTTGTTTGCAGCATCAGAGCTTGGTCTTTACGACTAGGACATCAAGATATTGAACATGAGCATCTTGAGCACGAAACTCTGCACGAGAACCCAGCTGTCATGAACATGGTCGAAACCTAAACCCTAAACCCTTACCTGGACCCCAAAAGTATGTAGAATACTAGCCTTTTTATGATTTGGGCCATGATTGTACCTACTTTTAGGGGTCTAGGTAACTAGGTACCCCGCGTTCACCCTCAACCCTAAACCACGACATAGGCATGGGTCATTCATCTTCCGACCTGTGGTGTTGAGACTGCAAGCGAGGGTAAAGCCAACCGGCCATTTTTCACTGCAATTCGTCAACATGCATGCCTGCAGTCAATAATTCGTAACTTCGGTGCCATGCAACAGAGACCTGCTCTTCCGAAACTGCAGCCTGTACATGCCCGTAACCTTCCTGATGTCCTAACTTCTGAAACCTAAAAGCAAAGATTCAACGTGACTAAGTTTCGAGCGCAGTGATCAGGCGCCGGCTGATGTGAAAAGGGGAGCTTTGCACCTGCCGCCTTCCGAACAGTTCAGTCGGCAAGCCCTTCAGCCCTAAACTACTGCTGATGGACAAAATCCTGCATTACTGTACCCTTTATAAGGAACATACCATAGTTCCCGTAGTTTAGAGTCCTTAGGGCCATGCAGGATTTTGTCCATCAGCAGTATCATAAACTACAATCACTGTAGCTAAGGCCAATAATCCCCGAACCACAAGCTGCAAATCCACAAAGTAGGCCGTAGACCTTGAACCCTATAGCCTTTGCACGGCCCACGGACCACCACCTAACACTGGACGTATGAGCCTGAACCCCTGTTGCCTCCCCCAAGCCGTAAAATCGAGAGCCCACAGACCCGAAAGCGAACGCTCTATAGGGCAGTTTCCACAGAAGACCTCGGGGAGTGGGGACAGTTTTGCGGGATCAGGCCGGTTCTGATTCAGCTGCACCCGAAATAGTAATCGGACGTACATTGCAAACCCAAGCTCCAAAGCCAGATGCAAGTAGGACGATTGTTCAGATGGCACCTCGGAAGTCCACTCCGGAACCCGTCATGTTTGTTCGCAATAGCGACGATCCGGCTCGCTGTTGGTTCAGTGCAGCAGAACTGTAGACTAATCTAGTGCAAGGCTGTGTGCCATCACAGGTCCAATACTGCGGTGCCACGCCAAAACGATCCGTGCATGCGGTGAGGGCAGGTCGACTGCTTGTATGGCTCTCCACAGCACGTTTTTTTGCGCAGCAGGCCACCTGACCAGAGCCATGCTTGGTCTCATGCGTAGCCAAAACAGTCTTTCATGTCGCTTGCGACACGGAGAAGACCCCGGAGCCGCACGCAACTCCATGGCCTTCTTGCCAGTTTTGTTTGAGATTGTTGCTGGGTTCGAGGGCTTGCTGGCGGGCATTGCAGCGGTCGGCGGCGAAGTCGGTGCGGATGCGGCTGCCGGTTTCATCGGCTCTGCAGCTTCGGAGTTGGCTTCTGTCACTCCTGAAGTGAATGCAGTTCTTATTGGCGGTGTGGGAGCGTACAACTTCGGAGAACCTACATGGGAGAATACTCATGATGGTTGGCAGACTCTCGGTGCGGCAACAGAAGGAGCAGTGCTCGGTGGGATATCCGGATATGCGTTGGGCGGTGCCGCTGGGGGTGCTATCGCTGCAGATGCGGAAGCCGCGGCATTGACTGCTCTCAGTGCCGTTTCGGAGCAAGCTGCAGACGCGTCTTCCTCAGCATTACTAGCTGGAGTTGCAGTGACCCGCACCCGGCCCCGCCTCAACCGTCGGCGACGGTTCAGGCGGTGTTGGCTGCGGGTGTAGCTGCTGTTGCAGCCGCTGCTGGCATTGCTACTGCCACGTCAGTTGCTGCAGCGGCTAAGGTTCCAGCTGTGGCAGAGGTTGTATTTGCAGAAATCACCGAGATCGCCAAGAACGCAGCCTTCACAGCCGGAGGTTCTTTTCCTGCAGATGCTACAGTATGGGGATTTCTCAGCAAAGCAGGAGACAAAGGATCTACAACAGAGATCGTAAATAGCATGGTCGACCCGGCGATCTTACATGGCATTGCAGACCCGGCGGCAGCTTTGCCAGTCCTTGCTATACTGCTGGCGGCACTGATGACGGTGGATTACCAGTTGCTTGGACTGCTCATATCTGTTCTCGCATATCAGGTCTTTGGCCGTGCAGCGGCACCACTCATCATGATTCATATTGAAACTTATGCAGGCGGGACTCCAGAACGCTGTCAAGAACAGATTCAAGTTCAGGTTTCCTACGATCAACAATCAAACTGCCTACATGGAAGTGTCGAGACAGCAAGTGGCAGCCGTGATAGGTGGGACAGTGCTGGTGGCGGGTGCAGCTCTTGGAGTCGCGATTCCAACTGCCTCCTCGATGCTCCAGACAAGAGTGACAAGCATGTTCCCGAGGATTATCACTTTCTTGCTCCTAAACCCTAAACCCTAAGACCCTAAAACCTAAAACCCGAAACCCTAAAAACCCTAAACCCTAAACCCCTCTTCCGCTTGGGCGAGAACCTGGTGAAGGAGTTGAACAAAGCAGCCGAGGCCGGGCTCACGCCTGACGGAAGTGATAGATCCCTGGAAGAGATTCAGACCCAGAGACTCCAATATCCCTTAATTAAGGAATATACCTTAAGTTATAGTAGGATCCCCAGTATGATTTAAGGAATATTCCTCAATTAAGGGATATTGGAGTCTCTGGGGAGGCTTATACCTTGGCTTGTCGGTGTCAGCGGATGCATTGGGATCTTATTTGGCTTAATTGTCGCTTTTCCTTCGCCAGAGTTGTCTGCCATCGGTGCATTACTGCGCCAGTGATCGTTTTCCTTCTTCGTCGGCGGGATGGAGTCCTGCTTGACCGCCCTTTTTGAAAGACTGCGACTTCAGCTTCCCCTCAAAACTGCAAGTACGACAACGGAGTGTGTGATTCTTCCTATAGTCTCCATTGTAGTTCCTTTTTTTGGTTAACCAAAATCTCTACTATAGGATCCTAACCATAAAACATAAAACTGGTTAACCAAAAAAAGGAACTACAATGGAGACTATAGGTTGTCTTCGGATAGGCCTTGAGTTTCAGCTTCTTCACACCAGTTTCTGATCCTGGTGCTTTGAGAGCCCCGGCGTGACATGATGGGCGCTATCAAGGTCTTCACACTGTTTGTGTTTATTTTGGTAATTGGTTTAGGACTTTCAGGCATTTAAGGGAACGGGTTGTGGATTTGCAGGTGTCGGTTTCAGTATAGGCTGCAGGTTTACAGGTCCTTATAGATCATACCCCGAAAACCCTAAGCCCTAAGCCGCCGAACTTTGTAGTCACGGAGCTGGCGACATTTGCAGGGCCTGGACAAGGCCCTCAAGTCTGAAGTCTTCCCGCCTTGCCGAGGTTGGGGCCGCGACACTCAGTGAGCTTGACATATGTGGGGTGGGATGGGCTAGGAGGTGTCAATCCGATTCAGGGGTCGGGGTTTCAGGTTTGTTTAGGGGTTTTAGGCTTACGGGTCCAGGGCTTGTAGGTTTTCGGGGTTGAGCGTTGCAGGGTTTAGGGCCAGGGTTTCCTTCACTGTAGCAGCAGCAGGACTAGACGACAGTCCAGCACGTAACACCTGCAGACCCGCATGGCGGGGCAACGAAGGTGCAAAACATGAATTTCAGTTCAAAGTGCATGCATCTCAGCATTGCTCGTAATGCCAGCTTTAGAGGCACATCACAGATCGCTTAGTCCGTAAGCCCTTGAATCCTGAGAAGCCGGGGCTTACCTATAGTTCCTTTTTTTGGTTAACCAAAATCTCTATTTTAGGATCCTAACCATAAAACTGGTTAACCAAAAAAAGGAACCACAATGGAGACTATAGGTACTCCGTTTCACAACGGCCCAGAACCGCCGCCTGCACAGACAGAAACGTGTTTCGACTTGCGGCTGCGTATGTTCATGGAAGTCTACCTACTTGGAGGATCATGGGACCTAGTAAGTAAGGTTATAAGTACTTTAATTGGGGGTATAAGTAGTCTTAAGTATAGTTACCCTAACAATGACCTTTTTAGTTACTAAGTCCCATGATCCTTTAAGTACGGTTTACGTAATATAGAAGCCGCAATAGTACCAATGTCATCCCTTGGGGCTCCTTACCAAGTACCATGTTTGAGGGTTGCGAAAATCACCTCGTGTCTGTAGGGCCGTGTTGCCATACCTTTCCATTGTGGGGACCATTACTACAGTCAGGAGGTCAACATAATTAGTATCAGTCCCTAAACTTAAGGCTCCAACGACTGATGTTTTTTTCTGTTTCTCAGTTTTATGGGCCAAAAACCTTACCATATAAGACTTTGAGGCATAAGACTTTCGGGCTATTTTGAGCCTTATAAGGATATCTAAACGCTAACCCTGATTCCTACAAGCGAAAACCTGTCTCGAGGCAGGGTTTCCAACACTTTTGACTTGTTACGTAAGGTCTTGATTTAGATCTTTGTAGTGAGTTCTTTATAAGGCTTAGTTCAGAGATGTTGGAGTGTCTGGGTTGCGTGTCGTCTTTGCACTTTCGGCAGAACTTGTGCTATTGATTTACATGTGAGCCTGAACCACGAAGACGGCCACAGAGTAGAATCCTTACAGTATTTGCTGATCCGGAACCCTCACCAAATACCTTAAGCCCGCCCCTATCCCTAAACCGTCTAGCCTACACCCGAAATTCGCAAACCCGAAACGCACGCGAAGATTTGAAGTCCCCGAGCTTGAAATTAAGTTTGGCAGAGCCGCCGCGAAAGCCTCCCAGATCCCTAGGCCCCAAAGTAGTTCCTTTTTGGGATTCCTCTATAGGAACCCCAAAAAGGAACTACTCTGGGGCCTTAGGGTAGAGGCTTCAGGGCTGAGGGTTGAGGGTTTTGATGCATGTAAACTGTTGCGCACTTTCGGCTCTGAAGGCTTGATGAGCCTTAAACCCTAGCTGTGAGCCAGAGACCCTCGCCCCGTAAATCCCGACACCTTCAACCCTAAACCATTAAACTACCCGCAATCTTAAACTTCAAAAAAAGCTTAATTGAACCCTACGCCCTATACAATACCATCAGCCCTAACCTCTACACCTAAGCCTTTTAAACCCCTATGCACACCCAAAGCTTCTAAACCCGTAACCTTAAACCTAGTAACTTCATACCCAAATGAACCTACACCCTATATATACCCCATACCGTGGCTTTAAACCCTGAACATTTATACAAACCCTAAGCCCTAAACCCTCAGCCTAAACATTCCCGCATTAGCACCCCGCCCCGAAGGGAAGCCCTGAAATCGGCACCCAAGCCGCCCATGGCAGCTTGTGAGCCCATCGGAGGTCTTGGGGTGGAGGGGTTTAGTGGCCTCGAGTCGAGGGGGTTTAGGCTTCAGGGTTTAGGGTTTTAGGGTTTTAGGATTTAGGGTTTTAGGGCTTTAGGGTTTAGGGTTTTAGGGTTTAGAATTTAGGGTTTATGGATTAGGGTTTCGGGTTTAAGCCCAAGTTGTTGTAGCTGTGAAGCGCGGGCAAGGAAACGAGGTCTCCATAGAAAGCCGGTGGAATTGAGGGCTTGAGTAGGCGCTTGCTGCTTTTGTTTTGGCGTTTCGGGCGCAGTTCAGCATTGAGAGTGCTGGTGGAGTTTCGGGGCAGGAGGCCCGAAGCCATGGTTGAAGGTGTCGGGAAATGTTCTTTCCCATCGCTTGCGGTCTCCGATCGAAGACGTTTTGCTTAGGGTTCAGGAAATCAGGATGCCTTCGGAAGCGGGGTGTATATGCGGGTGTTGGGAACCCGGGTTGTGTGCAACACAAATCCCATAATGCCAAACAAAGCGTTTTCAGACCTTGCTAAACCTTCTTCCGTCAGATTCCAAATTGGACCGTATCCGCAAACTCTGCAAACTTTCCAAACTTTCGACGTTAAGTCATGTTTGGAAAAAACAACCGGGTCTCTTTCCATAGGGTTCCTTCCAAACCCTGTGAAATATAGCCTCGGTATGTCGTACACCAGAACCCCATCCTTCAACCCCGTAACACCCTCGTAAACCCCAAGCGGCCAATGCAACACTATAGAACCCCGGAGAAACCACATCGAAGATTGCAAAAGAAGATAGACGCAAGCGTGTTAATCCCAAAGGCTATGGGGCGCTGCATTACGAAACGAGCCTAGAACCTTTCCCTGTAAACTTTGTACAGTCATTAATAACCCTATACTCTAGAATCCTAAACTCCGAACTTGAGCCCGTCGCAAAAACCTAACTTAAACCCGAAAACTCTAAAACCCAACGGACGGAAAACCCTAAACCCTAAACCCTAAACCCTAAACCCTAAACCCTAAACCCTAAACCCTAAACCATAACCCCCTGAAGCCCCTGAACACTGAAGCCTTCAACTTCAGCAACCTACGGTTGATGGTATAAATCCTGCATTACCAACAATACGGAATATGCCATAATTGCCATTGCTTAGGGTCCTTACGGTAATGCAGGATTTGTATCATCAACCGTAGTACAAAGCTGCACAGCCATTTTACGAGTGTAAAGGAACCCTAGAACCCTAAACCTGAAGCACGAAACCCCAGATGCTCTGGTACTTTTGGAGTAAGCAGCCCTCGAAAGAACCCTGACACCCAAAACCCTAGAGCCTCAAATCGCTAAACCCTCATGAAGCCCTGGAGCCCTAAAGCCCCAAAGCCCGAAACTCCAGGGACATGGACGCCTTGGCCACTCGCCTCGGCCGCTTCGAGGCAGAATTGCAGGCCTCGCGACCGCTTGTGCCTTCAAAGGGTTTCCGGGTTCAGGATTCCCAAAAACAGT